AAACTAAGCTTTATATTTGATGATGAAATCAAAAGTTAAAAGAATTTACAACTAGAAAGCCTGCACTAGAGAACATCCTAAAGAAAAGTTAAAAGAATTTACAACTAGAAAGCCTGCACTAGAGAACATCCTCAGCAAAATATTCCCTGAAGATGAAATGAAAAACAATGATGAAAATCAGCAGAGGTAGGTATTACACTAAAGGAAAATCTATTCAGAGGAGAAACCAAGTCACATTAAATACTAAAAGTAAACAAAACTGGCTGGGAATAAAAATCCTGTCTCAATAATAACCATGAATGTTAATGACCTAAATTCACCAATCAAAAGACATAAACTGGCAGATTGGATTAAAAAAAAAGATCCAACAATATGCTGCCTCCAGAAGACTCATCTCATAGGAAAAGGCATCTGCAGATTGAAAGTGAAGGGTTGGGAAAAATCATACCACTCACATGGACTGCGGAAGCAAACAGGTTCCCATCCTCATATCAAATCAAGTTGACTTCAAGATAAAGTCAATCAAAAAGGATAAAGAAGGACACTACATACTGCTCAAGGAAACCATTCACCAAGACTTAGCAATTATAAATATATATGCCCCAAACAATGGAGCATCTATGTTCATCAAACAAACTCTTCTCAAGTCAAATAGACCACACCACAATAATTTTGGGTGACTTTAACAAACCTTTTTATCACTAGATAAGATCTTTCAAACAAAAGCTGATAGAAGAAACTTCTCTTAAATAGATCATACATTATGCCACAAAGCAACTCCTAGCAAATACAAAAAGGTAGAGATACTACCCTGCATTTTATCAGATCATAATGGAATTAAATTAGAAATCAATGATAAAATAAAAAATAAAAGCTACTCCATCACCTGGAGACTAAATAATATGCTACTGAATGAACAACAGGTTGCAGAAGACACCAGGAGGAGATTAAAAAATTTGGGAGGTGAATGAGAACACAGATACAACATATCAAAATCTCTGGGACACTGTGAAAGCAGTTCTAAGAGGAAAGTTCATTCCTTAAAAGAAGAAAAAGTCAACAAATAAATGACTTAACAATACATTGCAACAACAAATACATTGCAAAGCCCTAGAAAAAAACAAATCTACACCAAAAGCAGTAGAAGACAGGAAATAATTAAAATCACAGCTGAAATCAATGAAATTGAAGCAAAAGAAACAATTGAAAAAAAGTGACAGAACAAAAAGTTGGTTCTTTGAAAAAATAAATAAAATTGACAAACCCTTAGCCATGCTAACAAAAAGAAGGAGACATAAAACTCAAATTACTAACATACATGAAGAAAAAGGAAATATCGTGACAGACACTACAGAAATACAGAAGATAATTAGAAATTATTTTGAAAACTTGTATCCAATAAAATAGAAAATATTGAAGGCATTGATAAATTTCTAAAGTCATATAATTTGCCCAAATTGAATCAGGATGATATACAAAATTTAAACAGATCAATTTCAAGCAATGAAATAGAATACTCCATCAAAAGTCTATCAACCAAGAAAAGCCAAGACCAGATGGATACACAGCCAAATTCTATAAGACCTTTAAGGAAGAACTAATACCAATACTCTTCAATTTATTTCAGGAAATAGAAAAAGAGGCAGCACTTCCAAACTCATTCTATGTGGCCAAAACCAGGCAAAGACACATCAAAGAAAGAAAACTTCAGACCAATATCTCTAATAAACATAGATGCAAAATTCTCAATAAAATTCTGGCACACCAAATACAAAAACATATCAAAAAGATTATGCATCACAATCAAGTGGGATTCATCCCAGGGATGCAAGTTTGGTTCAACATATGGAAATCAATAAATGTAATTCACCACATCAATAAACTTAAAGATAAGAATCATATGAACATCTCAATAGACACAGAAAAAGCATTTGACAAAATGCTTTTGAGAGCACCCCTTCATGTTCAAAACCCTAGAAAAAATAGGGATAACAGGAACATGTCTCAACATCGTAAAGGCTATCTATGCTAAGCCCCAGGCCAACATCATTCTAAATGGAGAAAATTTGAAAGTATTTCCTCTAAAAATTGGGACAAGACAGGATGCCTCTTTCACCACTACTATTTAACATAGTTCTTGAGACACTGGCCAGAGCAATCAGACAGACAAAAGAAATTAAAGGGATATACATAGGAAAAGAAGAACTCAAATTGGCACTATTTGCTGATGACATGATTCTATACCTAGAAGACCTTAAAAGTTCCACCAGAAAACTTCTAGAACTAGTAAATGAATTCAGCAAAGTAGCAGGATATAAAATCAACACCCATATATAAAAGGCATTTCTGTATATCAGTGACAAATCCTCTGAAAGGGAAATGAGGAAAACTACCACTTAACAATAGCCTAAAAAAAAACCTTGGGAATCAACGAAAGAGGTGAAGGATCTATATAATGAAAATTACAGAACCCTAAAGAAAGAAGTCAAAGAAGACCTTAGAAGATGGAAAGATCTACCTTGCTCTTGGATAGGCAGAATTAATATTATCAAAATGAACATACTACCAAAAGCACTATACAGATTTAATGCAATTCCAATCAAAATCCCAATAACATTCCTCATAGAAATAGAAAAGGTAGTCATGAAATTCATCTGGAAAAATAAGAGACCCATAATAGCTAAAACAATCCTTAGCAGGAAGAGTGAAGCAGGTGGCATCACTGTACCAGACCTTAAACTATACTACAGAGGAATAGTAACAAAAACAGCATGGTATTGGCAGCAAAACAGACTGGTAGACCAATCATACAGAATAGAGGACACAGAGAATAACCCACAAAATTACTCTCATCATATATTAGACAAGGCGCCAAAAACATACATTGGAGAAAAGATAGCCCCTTCAATAAATGGTGCTGGGAAAACTGGAAATCCATATGCAACAAAATGAAATTAAACTCCTATCTCTCACCATGCACAAAACTTAACTCAAAATGGATCAAAGACCTAGGAATAAAACCAGAGACCCTGCATCTAATTGAAGAAAACATAGGCCTTAATTTCCATCATGTGGGGTTAGGCTCCAACTTGCTTAATACGACTCCTGTGGCACAAGAATTAAAATCAAGAATCAATAAATGAGATGGTCTTAAGCTAAAAAGTTTCTTCTCATCAAGAGAAACAATCTGTGAGATGAATAGAGAGCCTACATCTTTGGAGCAAATCTTTACCACTCACCCATCAAATAAAGCATTAATCTCTAGGGTACACAAAGAACTCAAAAAGCTAAGCACAAAATATATATATATATATACAAATAAATAAATAAATAACCCAATCCATAAATGGGCCAAGGACCTGAACAGACATTTCTCAGAAGATTATATAGAATCAATCAACAAATATATGAAAAAATGTGCATCATTGCTAGCAATTAGAGAAATGCAAATCAAAACTACTCTTTCATCTCACTCCAGTCAGAATGGCAGCTATTATGAAGACAAACAACAATAAGTGTTGGTGAGGATGTGGGGAAATAGGTACACTCGTACATTGCTGGTGGGTCTGCAAATTGGTGCAGCCAATATGGAAAGCAGAATGGAGATTCCTTGGAAATCTGGGAATGGAACCATCATTTGACCCAGCTATTCCTCTCCTCGGTCTATTCCCAAAGGACTTAAAAAACAGCATATACAGGGACACAGCCACATCAATGTTTATAGCAGCACACTTCACAATAGCTAAACTGTGGAACTAACCTAGATGCCCTTCAATAGATAAATGGATAAAAAAATGTGGCATATATATACAATGGAATATTTACTCAGCAATAAAAGAGAATAAAATCAAGGCATTTGCAGGTAACTGGGTGGAGTTGGAGAAGATAATGCTAAATGAAGTTAGCCAATCCCCAAAAAACAAATACTGAATTGTTTTCTCTGATATAAGTAGGCTGATTCATAGACTGGTAGGGAGGGAGAGCATGGGAGTAATAGACAAACTCTAGATAGAGCAGAGGGGTGGGAAGTGGAGGGAGGGGGCATAGGGTTAGAAGTGATGGTGGAATATGATGGACATTATTATCCACAGTACATGTATGAAGACATTAATTAGTGTGAATATACTTTGTGTACAATCAGAAATATAAAAATGTGTGTTCTATATGTCTAATAAGAATTGTAATGCATTCTGCTGTCATATGTAAATAAAAAATTAATTAAAAAACACATTATGCTTATTTAAGAAGTTTAGAAATCAGTGGAGATTCAGTGATGCTGCATCTTCAATACAGAAAAAGAAAACAATTTTATAAGTGTGACTTTTTAAATCTCTTTTGTAATGATTTTAAGTGGTCTAGTTGAAAGAATGTACAAATTTGAATTCCCACACTTATCAAATTATGCCTGTGATTCTTCAGAACACATATTCTGATAAATATTTTCTCTTACCACAGCTTCTTAACAGCATAAAGGGCACAGCAGAGGTGTCAGAAACTAATCGTGCTCATGGGGTGTTATTAAATAGAAAAAAAAAAGGCTCCTGTCTCTTGGGTTAATATTATTTTAGAAATACTTAATCTCCAGGCTGCTAAGCTAATTGTGGGGGAAAGGCTTATTATTAGTGAAGAGAACAAAACATATGTTCCAAGACTGGAAGAGATGATGGGGACTATATAAGGTCATGAATTCTATTTGACTAAATTACTGCTGAACCATATCGTGGATGCCAGGCTGGGGCCAGGGTGGAAATCAGCATGTTATCTTTCTTTTCCATCTGTAGAGTGAGTGTGCACATTCTGGCCATTTAAAGCCTCAAGCCTCCTGTATGAAGAGGTATTGTTAGGTATTATTACCTTAGGCATATTTGCTTTTATGATATGGTTAGTATTTTAGCCTATTCTCCTGAGTGGAATAATTTATGCACAGAAAGCCAAACCAATTTATTTGAAATCTGAAAGCCTATCATCAGATACATTTCCAGAGACTTCTTTCCCCCCAGGGCGGCGAGTAACTGCATGTCAGCCAGCTACCATGGTTCCTACCAAAAGCCCTGTGCATCCTGTGGTGGTTGAAGGAGGCTGGACTGAGCAGACTCAAGAGGAAATTAAACTCATGGAACTTATAAGACACACAGAGGTATGTTCTTTAGGATTCCAGACATTTAAGACTCTGCCTCTTTTATAAGTATTTAAAAGTACAATATTGAATTTTTAAATTACACTGTTAATATATTCTTAGCATCTGGTCACTTATGACCACATAAGCATATGCCAAGCATTGAACTGGCATTTGGAGAGTAGCTATCTAAGAGACAGCCAGCTCATATGAAAGTCTGTTTTGTTTGAATGAAGACCAGAAATTATGACCTTAGCAAAGAAGAGAAAAAGGCCCAGTGGATATGTCCAAAGGTAATTATAATAAGTGTAGTCAAGTTGAGCCTTATGGCTTCATTGCTCATCACTCCTGAGGGTATGTCTCAATATGTAAAAAGAGCAAGGAGCAAAATACTAATTGCAATGGAGACATTCAAAATGAGGAATTGAAAAAGTGGTTTCAGTACAATTGGTTAATCAGTCAGGATCACCACACATTAAAAAGTTGAAAAGAGAAAGGTCAGCTTTGGAGAGAGAGGACTGGGGATAGAGACTGGGGAAAACTTTTTTGCTTTGTGAAGTTTTTCATCAAAATGAGCTGTTCCTATTTAATAGGGTCTCTCAAATTTGTGAAATGTGTTCAAACTAAATCTTAGGTGGGTGCCTAAGTCAAGGTTACTGGAAAAAAGAAATTGACATTGCTAGATGTATGACTTCTTGCCAAGCTAAGAAGGATAAATCACTGATGAGGGAATAAATGCAAAGTACTGAACTAGGACATGCTTGAAGTAGGATGAAAAGCTGCCTGGCAGGGATCTGGCAAGTAGAAGGGTAGCTGCTGTTTTTTTAAAAAAGACAGCAAGTAAGGACTTAAACAACACTCATCTACACTCCCTTAAGCGTTTCTTGGTTAAAGGAAGTGGTGTTTTTCTAATAAAAAACTCATTTGTTAGATGCAAAGAAATCTCTCAGTAGGAAAAACACTATGCAGAAGTCCAGAGACATGAATCCTGTCATTTCTTCAAATTATAAATGAAAGTTAAATACTTGGCCAAAATGAGTACCTTATTATGATTACTCCAATGATTGTTAATGGATTTAAAGTTTCATTGAAGCAAAGGGAATTTACCAGAATCCATGACAAGAGAGGCCAATGCATTTAAAAGTACAATATAGAATTAATAGTTACTTACTAAAATCTTGGGTGTAATTTATGATTACATGGTATTTCTGACTTTCAGCACAATCATTACACACACTAACCGATTCTCCAAACATGGGATTCTCTGGGCTTCTCTTGACAGGCACAACTTTCGGAAGTTCAAGAACTACAATCCAAACAAAATTCCCCAGTTGCAACTAAACATAAAGCAGTCCAGCAGAGTCGCCTGTACAAGCAACCCAACACAAAACGAGTCTGGGCTTATCTAAATGGAGGAAGACCTGAAGATGGCACTTATGCCTGGGGCAGGACTGTTACAGAGGTAAATCAAGTGTGAAAGAGTGTTTTCATAGGCCTGGATTCAAATTCCAATCTAACCTTTCTAGAGGTTTGGTCAGGCAAATGTCTTTACTTCTCTGAACCTCATTTTCTCATATGTAAAATGGGAACAATACTTCTCTTGCAGAGGTGATCTGATGATTAAATGAACTTATATGTGTGAAAATGTCAAGTCCAATGCTGTCCAACATATGTATTAATCCGAGTACAACTCATAGCCAGAAGAGAACAGTGCCAAATGAACATACTCCAGCTGAGTCAAATCCAAACTTTAAGATAATTTAAAATTATATTTTTCATCCATAGTAAACCCAGTTCACAAAAGAGTGATACTTTATGAATTATTCACTAAATATGTTGTAAGGAAAACATCAGTACTTGTTAGAGAAATCATAGCATATTTTTATCACCCAGAGTCCTACCTAGACTGGCCGAATTTCTACTTCTCAGAACAATGACATAGGAAAAGAGGAGTAGCAGTTCATTTATTGTTTACAACTTGGGGGATAATGATAAAGTTTGATATTTTTGTTATCATCTGTAAGTGAAAACTTTAGGCACATAATAAATGGATTTTTCAAAAGTCTTATCTTTTGCTATGATATTTCAAATAATAGTTTGTCTTTATTTTGTGAAGCGTTTTCATAAATCTTTCTGGGGAAAGAAACTCACATAAAAATGAGATGTAGGTTAGGTTGGGTGGGGGCTAGAAAAGCAAGATGGTGCACTAGGGTGACCTTGAGAAGAACTTTAGAGGGGTGAGCGCCCTAGAGTAGCAGAAGCCCATCAGATGAGCTTTGCCTCTGAAGGCTGGTCCATTTTCAAAGTGTAAGAGAGACCACTTCTCTTTGATAAGGACTTGAATAAGAGCCATGAAAGCAGTCTTATCTCAGAAGCAGACAACCAATTTGCTGCACTTGAGAGAAATCAGAGATAAAAATGCAGAAAATGAATACTCAAAATGAGGAATACAAGTAAAGGAACTTCATACACCTGGAGGGGAAATAAAAGGAAAATGATGATTTTAAAAAGTTAAAACTTATTCAGAAGAGAACTTCCTAGAAAAGGCATTATAACAAAGCTGAAATGTTTCCTCCTTGCTAGTTCTGCAGAAATCACAAAGTTAATGTTGTAGCTTCTACATCTTAGGATGCATTTAACCATTGCAACTAGATGTGATAAATTAGTAAGAGAATATGCAATGATTAATGAATAGTTAAAGAATGGAGTAGGGATCATGGAGTGATCATTATTACTCTAATGATTTTTAATGGCTTTAGTGTTCATTGAAGCAAAGGGAATTTACCAGAGCCCCTGACAGGAGAGGCTAATGAACTTAATAGCTACTTACTAAAATCTTTAGCCTATCAGACTCTCGATAGCAAAAATTTACAGTAACATTTACAAAGATCACATATATTTATATCCAGTCAAGAATTACTTTTATTTCTGTGATTGTTTAGTGTATCATATACTTTGTCTTTGTTATCTGACGTTCTTTCTTCCAAGTGTCTAGTCTGTTGGTTATGTTTTCTATTGAATTTTTTATTTGGTTTATTGTATCCTTCATTTCAAGGATTTCTGACTGTTTTGTTTTTTTTTCAGAGTCTCTATCTCTCTTGAAGTAATCTTTTGCTACCTGTATTTGCTCTCTTATCTCCATAACTATTATTTCATAATCATATGATTTTTATGAACTTTATATATGAGGGAACTATACTACTAGAGTCTATGAAGTATTGTTCATATATATATATATATATATCACATACATATTATAATATTATATGATATGTATATAATAGTGATATATATTAAAGACCCCAGGACCAAGAAAGATTTACTTTATGTAAAGTTTATATATATTATATATAATTTTTGTTGTTGTTGTTTCTAGGATTTTGCACCCAGGGGCATGTTACCACTGAGTTATATTCCCAGCCTTTTTTATTTTTTATTTTGAGACAGGATCTTGCTAAGTTGCTTAGAGCCTCACTAAATTGCTGAGGTTGGCCTCAAACTTGCTATTCTCCTGCCTCAGACTCCCAAGATGCTGGAATTATAGGCATGTGCCATCATGCTCAGATTTTCTCATTTATATTTTTGAGAAGGGTTTTTATAAACTTAATAGTATTGTCTAATTGATAGGTTGACCTCAACAGTACTAATACAGTAGATGGAATTAACATATGGTCTATATGCTCATTAAACTATTATTTCAATTAACAAAGCTTTCAAAGATATATCTAGGGTTTGAATGTGTAAAGAAATGGGCACTCTCATCTTGATGAAAGTATGACTTTTATTTGCATATCTCATTAGAAAATGCATTTCTGGAACTTTATCTCAAAGGACATTTTCACAAACTTATATAAGGTTGGTTTGTTCGGAATGTATATCACACAAGTATTTACAAGAGAGATGCAGTAGAAATAATTTAAAAACTCAACAATAGGGAATTGGTTAAGTGAATTATTTACATAATTAATAATTTAAATAATATAATATAAATATTATTTAATATAATATTATAATATAATATAAATAATATAATACTATATTTTACATAAGTAAAATATAATGATTAAAATATAACAATTAAAATCACCTTTTAGAACAAATAACAATAAAGATGGTCCAGATATATTAAGTGAAAGGAGCATGGTGTAAAGCGTGTGGAGTTAGATTCTTATGTTCATACATGCCCATGAACTGAAAATAACCGGGAAAGATTTTGTTGTTGTAAATGTTTATTTGGGGGACAGTAATATTATCATGACCTTTTGTTTTTCTTTCTTGGATGCTTTTTTATGTGCTCCATTTTTTAAAATGATGAATGCAGATTGTCTTTGTAAGATAAACTTATGTGATAATAAAGCCGATAGTCCTTTCTGAGAGGTACTAAAAGGATGTGATGAAAGTCAAATTAGTAGTGCAGGAGAAGGGGGTCTGAGGCAGGTAGGAATTCAGAGGAGGGGAGGGGAGGACAAGGAAGACTCTACAGAGAAATCTGCTAGGACTTCTGATGGAACTTGAGAAGTGGGTAAGACTCAGCATCTTAGACAGAACTGCATTAATAAGGATGAGAGGTACCATTCACAAAGGTAGGGTGTTAGAATTCATGATATATTATTATTATTATTATTATTATTATTGATTGAGCCCAGAGGCACTGAGCTACACTTACTATTTTTAGGCAGGGTGTCCCTAGGGTAATCTGGATGGTTTCAAACTTGTAACCCTCCTACCTCAGCTGGGAGTAAAGACTGGGCCACTGTGCCCAGCTCATAATGTATATTAAATAGATGGTACTTAGACTGAGAAATAGGAACAGATGTGTTGAGTAGATTGCTTAAAAATATATGGTGGACCTACATATTATATGTATTGATATCTGCTTGGGCTGCCATAACAAAATATCACAGACTATGTAGCTTAAACAATGGAAATTTATTTTTTCATTGTTCTGAAAGCTGGATGGCCAAGATCAAGGTGCCAGCAGGGTTGATTTCTGATGAGGCTGTCCTTTCTGGACTGCTGAGAGTCACGTTCTTGCTGAGTTCTCCTTTGCATGTGACGTGCGGGTGGGGGAAAGAAGGGACAGAGAAAGATCTCTGGTGTCTTTTGCTGTCCTTGTGAGGAAACCAATGGTCCACCCTCATGCCCTTGTTTAACCTTAATTGTCTCTTGAAAGTCTCTGTCTTCAAAGACAGTCACAGTTGGAATTAATGCTTCTACATGAATTTTGAGGGAACCGAAATCAATCCCTAACACTGTCCCAGACTTAAGTGTTTGAACCATTGCTTGTCTCTGAATAAAGAAATATCATGGGGAAAGCAATTTGGGGGAGATTATGTAGCCTTGGTATGTAGAAAGATATTTACAGATTCTTTGCTTTATTAAAAAATAGTTTCTAGTTTTTTCCTTTCCCGTATCTATGCAGTATATTTCTGCTTAGGGGCCTGCATAAGATTCTTGCTGATCAGTTAGATCGGGCTATCACGCTGTTAAGAATGCACCAGGAAAATGCACTGTGTGTGTGGACAGCATGAAGAGTGGAGTTTGAATTTCCCTGGCCAATAGTACTGATTTCTAAGATGCTCAGAGTTTCAATTATTAGTTCTTTACTGGAAGAATGAGAAATTGATGCTTTACTCTAGCTCCAGATGATATTCAAATTCCATCCAATGTGGACTTTCTCTCAATTACTCTCACTGCACTGGTGTTCTGGATGGCTTAACTGCGTTCTTCCCACACACTTTTGGAACATTACTAGAGCAACTTTTATCTCCATCTGGTGTTGGCTCATCAGTCATTGAAGCTCCAAGACAGCTCTCTATCTAGGGTTAGTGGCTCTCTCTCCAGGACCGCCTTTCTCTGATTTAGGCTCATATAGGCCCTGCTCCTCTAGTCTTCTCCTGTCCCTGAGAAATCTCTTTGATTCTACAGAATCTCAAAATCAGTGTGTTCTCTCTCAGTTGAGGAACAGTTCTGAAAGAATGAGAAATGGGTTCTTTTGATTTAGATCGTCAAGTACATCACGCCCATAGGGAGCGTGCAGTAGTCCAACAGGCCCATGTACCTACCCTGTGGAGACCTGTTCTATGAAGACTAAACTCGCAAAATAGATTGTGAGTGAGAAATTATTTATAGCACACTGTTCCTTACTGTGAACTTTTGTTATTGCAAATATTACAAACATTTTATTTACACACCCACTTAAGAAAAGCACTTGAACACATGTAGATAATTTGAAAAACTGAGATTTAAGAAAGTCTCTAACAGTCATTAACTGATGAGATATTTAGAACCTAATTGCTCTGAAAATGCCTTATTTTCAAATTTGATTTTAAAAGATTTTTGTAAACTCACTGGCTTTGTCTCATGCAAATGGGCATTAGTAAAAAGCAAGTGGAATAAACATAGATTTAACTCATCTCTTTCCTATACTATACATTTTTTTTTATTAAACTTTACTCATTTTTCTGAATACATGATTTCTGTAGACAACATGATCTTGTAGAGTAGTGACATTTAAGTGGCAAAGTACTCTTTTTCTTTTACCATGTATTAATTGTACAAATTAATAGGTTTCACTGCATTTATTGTACATTGGTGCTATTTCTTTATATTTGGTGCTGGAGATTGAACACAGGGCTTCATGCACACCAGGCAAGTGCCCTACTAATGAGCTATAATCTCCAGTCCAATAATTCTTACATTTATTTTTCATTGGCTCTTTTCCAACCTCATACGTTTCTTCCAGATACCTATCTATACATATTTCTAAGACAGCTTCCCACTACTCCCAGCCCAGATGAAAACCAGCTATAACACCCTTTGGTTGCCTTGAAGAGAGAGAAAGAGAGAAAGAAAGAGGGAGTGAGTGAGTGGGTGGGTAAGGGAGGGAGGGAAAGAGGGAAGGAGGAAGAAAGGAAGGAAGGAAGATAGATAGATAGATAGATAGACAGACAGACAGATAGATAGATAGTGACTGTTAAGGACTGAATTATGTCCCAACCAATCCCAATCCATATGTTGAAGGTCTATATCCCAATGTGACTATATTTGGAGATAGGGTTTTTAAGAGGTAATTTAAGTTGAAGGTGATTATAAGGGTGGGTCCCAAATCAAATAGGATTGGTGACCTTATAAGAAGAAGAAGAGGGAATGCCATCTCTTTCTCTATGCCATGTGAGGACACAGCAAGAAGGTGGCCATCTGCAAGTCAGGAAGCAAGCCTAGCCAGAAACTCATTCAACCAGCATTATAATCTTGGACTTCCCAATCTCCAGAGCCATACAATATTTTTGTTATTTAAGCCACTCATTCTGTGGTGTTTGTTTTTGACAGTCTGAGCAGACTAAGTGGTAAATATTGTTATGGAGAATTTTGAAAAATCACAAATGAAAACTATGAATTTACTATAATCTTATTTTTGAAAATAATTACTATGAACTTCATGATTATTTGAATAGCATCTATTCTGTTTTATAATTATAAAATGACAGTCATTATCTTAAAATTAGAAAAAAAATGAAAATGCCAATAAGAAACTAAAAATTTCATCACCACAAAAACCAGTTCTTATAATTTTAATATGTATGTATATAATATATGTATATATATTTCTATGTTTTGTATATATTTATATGTAAATTTTACCATTATGATCATAGTAAATCATGTGGTAAATCAGTTTTGAAAGTTGGTGTATTCAAACTATTGTGACTTTTTCTCCGTATAATATAACATTCTTAAAAAAACATTATTTTCAATGGCATCATAATTGTCTATCCAATGGATGCATTTATTCATCCAGTTTTCTGTTGTTTGCTAATTGTTTTTAAATTTTCATTATTATGAAGTGTACTGCAATATACACATTAATACACAAATCTATATCTCCTTTCTGATTACTTCCCTCAAATATGTTCCTTGAAAGATTTCTAAATCAAAGTATACAAAAAATAATTGAGAATTTTGACACCAATTGCTAGAGTATTTTCTAGGGAGGATTCAGTGTTCTGTGTTCCCAGTTTCCATCTCCCTCCCATGGCATACATGAAGATGTCAACAATTCTAGGTGCACTGATTTGGAAACATGTGTTGGCAGGCTGGACAGGAGAAAAATGTTATTGTTATGTTTTAACTTATATGTCTTAAATTACTTGTAGAGGTGATTCTAATTTTGCTTTGTGTTATCATTTATTATTATGGAGAACAATATAACATTATAATATTTCTAAGTTCTCTGAGTTCCCTATTAAATCCTTTGTTATTTTCTCCCAGATGCTTTTTTTTTCATATTGATAACCTAACCTTCTTTTAATGTAGTAAAATTATTAAACATAACATTATCAAATCCATTGTATCAAATTTCCAATTTTCCATTACATCTGTGGAATTTTTTAATGTACAGAAAGTAATAAATTTTACTTTGTTCATTGTTTTTAATATTCAGGTAGCCCTTTACCATCCTGAGTTCATACAAAGATTCACCGATTCTTCTTCTAATTTTTAACAATTGTGCTTTTTTTTTTCTCTATTACTTTAAAAGCCATATGAGAATTTTTTTTCTGGTGCTAAATTTAAGTGAAAATACTGCCTCCAATTTATTTGTTGACTTTCAGTTATTCTCTCAACTCTATTTACTAACTGATCTCTCCCATCTCCACCTGCCACTGAAATGGGGTAACAACTGTATGATGCACTACTATATACACATACATATTAGCTTCTATTAACCTTTCTAGTACTGTTGACACTTTGCATCTGTATGTAAGTTTTTATGGGTATTCCAAGGAAAACAGAGATGTTCAGTGAGGTCATTGTAGCTAGTTTTAAGCTTTATCAACTAAAGGAAATTTTCTGATCATAGTATCATAGAGCTAGAAAAGTTTTACATTATAATGTTTCATTTTATAATGGAGAAGACTCTTTTGTAGTAGTTACCTGACCTGTTGAGGGTCACACAGAGGCCAGAGCCTGGGTCTCCTCATCTTTTGTAACTTTAGTTATTTGATTATTAAAAATAAACTTTTCTCTTTTTAGCCATCTTGAGATGTCTATATTCCTTTTTGGCAGGGCGGTGGTACCAGGAATTGAACTCAGAGGCACTCGAACACTGAGCTATATCCCCAGCCCTATTTTGTATTTTATTTAGAGACAGGGTCTCGTTGAGTTGCTTAGCACCTCACTTTTGCTGAAGCTGGCTTTGAACTTGCATTCCACCTGCCTCAGCCTCCCGAGCTGCTGAGATTACAGGTGTATGCCACTGTGCCTGCCTGAGATGTCTATATTCTTAATTCAGGGTTTGTTATATTTGAGGATTCATTAGATAGCAAGATACTTTCCTTCCATGGACCTACAAGGAAATCCTCACTGACAAGTACTGAAGTTCCTTGTTTTGTAGGCACTTTAGAGAGCATTTGTATAACCTTCTTCCCCTCCCTTATGTTCCTATTTCTAATAATTTTAGGTTATATAGTGAATATTAAGATTCTTTAATACTTGATCATATTGTGACATCCTGTATTCAAATATGGTGTCCCTTTGTCTTTCAGCTGCTAGATAACTGTTCCTCTCGTCTCAAAATGACCCATCCAGCCAGAACCCTGTACACCCGAGATGGAGAATTGATTCAGTCATGGGATGACATAGAACGAGACATGGTCATCTGTGTGTCTATGGGACGTGACTTTATAACCCAGAAAGGTATGGCAAACACTTTTCATTTCTGTCAAGATTTTAAAGAACTAAAGCATCCAATCTTTGCTTCTAAGACCCTCCTTCTTGAATTTTGCATCCTATTGTGATGATTTTTTTAATAATTATGCTCCCCACATTGTTCTGCTTCATGTTATGAAAGTTAAGTTTTTTAACTAGGAATTAAACAGTTTGCAGATTTTCTTTCTTTAGTAATAAGTAAATATATGCTAAGTTTATTATCTATTCCTTGATCATTTTCTTTGATAAATGACAGAAATTGAAAGAACATATAGTTATTATGGAATCAACTCTTGTTTTATCCTTTTTACCCTGAGGAATTTCAAATCCCTTTCTGTAGGTAGGTACACATTAGAAGAGATATAATTTTCAGGAAATTCCAAAGAATACTGTTTTTACTTTAAAGGAAATTTTTAAAATTAGGAAGTGAATTACTCAACATCTCTAAAATAAAAAGATTGTATTTCTTCTTTTAAAAAGGTACCCTAAAAGTATTAGTATGTTCTATATAAGGTAGGTAAGCCAAAAACTTTTCAAACAGTGGAATAATGCCTTTACATTTATCCTAGAAGAATCAAAAACAATACATGAAGACCAAAATGTAGGGAGACAAAGATTTATTGGGATGCCTAAGACTGCTTTGAGGAATGTCACAAATATTCCTTGAGTACCAGCCTATCTCACAGAGCAGGCTCCTTTGTATTCTTTGTGTTCTGCTGTTCCCGTAACCCATCTTATCCATCACCCTACCCCTTGGTGACCAACACTGTGTGGTTACTTTGGAGAACACACCAATGGCAGGGTTCTTATCATTAGTAAGTATTATTTGACAGTTTTTTTGTATTCCCAAAGAACGTAGTCTAAAAAGAAAAATAAATCAGGCTTCCTTTCCTGGAAAAGTTTTCAATCTATTTGAGAGTATAAACAGACATGAAATGATTACAGCCAATTGAATAGTACTTCCCAATCCCTTTATTACTTATGCTTTGCATTCATATACTTGGGATGGGCTACCCTACCCTTCTTGCCATGCTGTGTTCATTGGACCTGAATAAATAAGGCTAAACATGCTTCAGGCAAGCTAACCAAAAGTGTATCTAAACCACAAAGAAAGATCTAGGCTGCCTTCCCAGAAACAAGCCTGTCTCCAATAAAAAATATAAAGGGCATTGAGAAAATTGGAAATGCAAATATTACTCTCCTTATCATTTTACTCCATGTTAATTCTCTGGACCTTTGACAAGTCTATGTAGGCAAACATTTATTTTTGCATCTTCAATTTAGTAAACACATGCAATGTTATGATGTGAAAGTTGACTCCTTTCCTATGAAAATAGTTGATTGAGAGTGAAAGGACTGGTGGTTTTCCCCAACTGTCTGAATTTTTCCCAATGAGTCACATATGTTCTAGGAAATTTGATTGATTACAAAGATTCCAATTCAGTTGTTCTTTAGAAATTTACTTTGTTGTTTTTGCTGAAATAAAGTTAGAAATAATCATCCAGTAGAAAACTAAATATTCAGAATGTTTTTAAAAAGAGAAATGCTCTTACATGTATATACTTATTAAGAGATATTTAAAAAATTAATCATTGTGTACATGATTTTTCTGTGACCTGCTGGCTGTACTAGGTAATAAGAAAATAAAGCAGCCAGGGAGTTTCAAAAATAAATACAGTATAATAACTTATGTCATATACTATAATGTCAAAAAATATTTAGAATTCAGAAGTCAGTCATCAAAAAAAATCACAATGGGTTTTTGAAAAATGAATATGATTTGGGAAAACAAACCAGATGCTATTAAAATGGTTTCTTTCACACAAGCCCCCAGTGAAATTAAAAGAGTGCTTTTATGCCATTTGCTATACAATCTGAACATGATTTTCACTGGTTTGGCTTTCATCTTTTTCAGTGGGTTCAATTTTTAGAGCATTCCAGTTAGCTTCCAATTCAGCCTTTACTAAGAGCTATAACAACTTCCATTCTATAGAAATCCAAAGAATGTTAGCACATATCTGATGTGATAAGCAGGTCAAGTGTGTAATGAGAGAGTCCAAGGTAGGAGCCGAGGATTTCTGAGGGATCGTCAAGGTTTTCACCATTCTGGACTTTTAATTATTTTGTACAAATACATTGACTTGTCTCTCAAAATAATCTTTTAACAGAGTTAAAGCAAGTGGTGGAGGTCAGAGCAAATTATGCCAGAATTCGAAGACAGCTGGGCCCTCAAGCTACAGACCTGGTGGTGTTACCATCTACAGAGCTGCTGTCACTGGTACATCTGCATAATTAATTCCTATCAGAGCCATCATATTTGCTGTTGTATTTTGCTGGTATATCTGTGTATAGATACTCATATGCTTGTTAAACATGATTGTTATTTATCTCTTTTAATTTCAAGTAGTCTTTTTTAAAAGTTATTATCTACAACATTTTACATAAACTGGCATTTGATGCCTATGCCTCAAAACTGTTCCTGGAAAGGCAACAAAATTAGACAGAATAATGCTGGTAAAACAACTATCTTAGGTGTACCTTCCTCCAGGAGGAAAAAAAAAAAACAGGAAACTACTAGTCAATATTTTAAAACAATTTAGCAGAATCCGGTAACTTATACATAATATTCATAGATGTATGTGTATATATGTGTATATTTATAATATTTGATAATCAAATAGACTCTGACCACTTAACCCCAAATTCAATCCCAACTGACAATTTCTTGCTCAGTCACTCTATTTGCAAAACTTCCATGTTAAAGTCTTACATGTATTAAATAAAACTGAAATGGCTGGTGGCCACCAAATGTGGCATGAATGGATCATTCCTCCTCCAATTTATCTTTAGTTTTGCCTGTAGTAACAGTACAGGTCCTTTATGGGCCTCAGTTAGATGTTGCTCATGAGAGTGAAATTGGTTATTTCCTGATGTATAGCCAATAATCAAAAGTCATATACTATGTCTTCATTATAGAAATGTAGAGAAAGGAATACACACACACAATCTTGTAAGGGATTCTTAGCAGTCTTGGGTATCAGCCTTACATAACAAGAACAGTACCTGCTATTTTCTTCCTGAGAAGACAAAATAGCCATTAAGACAAAAAGAAAAAGAAAATTGTTCCTGGTGGGAATTTTGCAGAGAAATGCTCTTCCTTCCTGTCTTCCTCTGAAAGCTACTCACAGTTCTGCCTGAATATCAATTGCAGCCTGGCTAGGTGTGTACAGAATGGCTCAGCTGGGCTCACTCCTCAGTTCCCCACTTTAATGTGATACAGGAAAGCAATATATCACCTCTACTGAAGGAGACTCTTGGTAATCGCTGCAAAAGGCCTGGCCGGTATTTACTCCGAGTCTGCAAATCAGTAGGGCTGCATGAATAAATCCCTGCTCTAACTCCACTGAAGGAAAGCTCATGGAGGTGAAATTTCACATGATACATCAACAACAATTTACCCTTTTACAAACATTTTGTTGTGTGATGTTAGATATGTGAAGGTTTCCCAAAGCAGCTTTGTGCCACACAGGAGACAAAGATTTCACATCACTCTTATTTTGCTTTTATTTATTTATTTCTATGTACCCAGAAAATTGAAACAAGAGGGATTAAAGAACTAGCTGCCACAATCAGAAAGTGAGCCAACAGGACTCTTACCAGTTGGGTCTTTCCTTAGAATGACTTGATCATAGTCCACATAAAGTCAGCTATTTTTTTTCTTCAAAATTCCTTGAAAACAAAGACATTTGTCTAGGTGCAAAAGTACCTATCACTTTTCTGCCAAGATAAAGTTGATTTGCTATGAAAATGGCATAATTTCACCTTGAATCTAATGTGCAAATTCTTGTGAAGTCTTTGCTGTTGCATGTAAGTATGCCTGAAGCGAAAATTGGTAATATCACACAGACGCTATATCAAGCACCAGGAGACATGAGGCAAAAGTCTTAAGTGAACTTTTCTATTACTAGTAAATGGGATTTTAGATGTAATATAACAGTCATCAACACATCACATCTTACTAGCGAGGCAGCCACACTGACTTTGTAGACGACAGCTTGCCCTGGGTATCTTGGCAGTTCATAGCTACTTGTAACTTAGGCTAAGAACTGTCCTACTCTGTCCTTATTATTGACTTTTCTCTGGTTGGCTGGAAGGTGGATTGGGGAGCAGTTACTCTACCTCCAGCAAGGACTACAGGATAAGACTATTGCAATTCTGTTCAGCCCTCCTAGGCTTTTAATAAACACAGTAATTTCCTTTGGGGACATGTTTATCAAATTTGAATCAGCCTCATATATATAAGTCAGATTTCAATATTTTTCTATCAACTGAAAACCATTTATTATTAAATACTAAAGTAACCATCCCCAAGTCCACAGCCTTCTCCAGAAATTTATTTCCTGCTGGTTCACAAACACCCTTAAGGTGATCCAGATGTTAATCAACAGTGTACCAGCATTTATGATTGTTCTCAGGAGAGCTGGAATTTTCTGCCCACGTCTAGCTTTTGTAGCATGATTAAGTGTTGAGGTAAAGTTGTATGTTTCTAAGCAGGTTAAGTAAAAGAAATATGCTTAAAAGCTTGAAAAATATTTTGAGATTAACTGACAGTATTTATAAATAAACATTTTAAGTGCTTATGTCAGCTTTGCAAACCAGGACACAACAATAATTCAAAATACAAAGGTAGCTTTTTAGGATGATAACACCAAATTTCCATTTTTATTGTTTCTATTAACTAAACACTATTTTATGAATCAAAAATCAAAGGAATAAAAAATAAATAAAAGAATAATTTGTTCCCTTTTACCAAAGAATCACTTAGAAATTTTGGTCAGTGACTTTTGCAGCATTTGTGTGCTAACCTTCAATAATAGCCCAGGTGTGCTGAGTGTCATTGTTCGTGATTCTCCAATGCAGCAACTTGAGGGGAACATCATTTTGAAGGGAATGATGAAAGCACACAATTCTGTGTTATTCTAGGTTGTCACAAAATCAGATGCAAATGTTCTCAATTAAATGGAATTGGACTAAGCAGTGATTCTCAGTTGTTTTCATTAAACCAATGACTCCAGTTCCCTTCTGGCCCTATGCACATCTCAGCTCCTCTAAGGCTAGGAAAATAAAAAGAAAGAGAAGCAGTTTTGTTCTCAACACAATAAAGTAGAATTCTGTAGAAATGGCCCCTTTTGGGGCCATGTGGCCAAAGTGACTTCAAAGCAAGATCAACAGAGAGCACTCAGGCGAATGCTGATGAAAGTAAATGGACTCATCATGTCACAGTGGATATTCAGTGGGTGCCTGCTGCCAGCTATAGTATTTTCTAATTCTGCAAGTCTGTAATATGAAACTACTATCAATAGGCTGTCACACTGTACCATATGTGCAAATAGAAATATATGAGAGAGGAAGTGCTATGCCCATGATGCAGCTGGGTTGGAGGAGAGGAGAAAGGAGGCAGGAAATTATATTTATAGGGCAGTAAAATGGTGATTCTGAATTGCGTGTGCTATCACTCATTTTCTGCAAAATATTGAACTGAAGGATTTCAGAAGAATACTGTCAGCTTATGGGTAGATAGTTCAGTCAAGCTCCTGGACCTGTTAGGTCCTAGTTTGTCAGTCCTGGAGAAGAGGTGAACTTAGAACAGATATTGCAGTTTTAGCCTAGGTGCAGATGCTGAGGAATTTCAGCATTGTCAGATCACCTGAGCTGCCACCATTGGCAGCTACATTTTGGAAGCTGCCCAAAGCCACACTGTACTGAAATAATCCTTCGGACTGTGCTGGGGTGAGATGGAAGAGAGGAGGAAATCTTCCAGGGATCCTAGATCAGTGCTCCTCAAAGTGTAAGATTTGACTACATCTCGGCTTTCAGTTCCTTCCCTCTTTCTTCCCCTTTCTCTCTCCCTGCCTGCCTTTTCTCCCTCTCTGGCTTTTCTCCTGTAAGAACCTTCAAAACTCATCTTTCATTAAAATAGAAAAGATCCTTCCTGGAACAATGTGAATCAGAAAGGATGCTTCCCTAATACAACTCTCAAATTTCAGGGTATACAAGAAACACCTAGGGAACTTGAGAACATGCAGATTCCCAAGCCTGATCCTAGAGACAGGTATGATCTGTGTGCTTCAGGTAGGGCAGGGAATCTGCATTTTATTGAGCTATAAGAAGTAACCACAGTTTGAGAAGCTTTGCCAGGAGTTTGGGGCCTGTCAAGGAAAATGCTGTTTACTACCAGCAGGGTGTATTCCAGGCGACAAGTACCAGTTTCAAGAACTCCCTGTCCATGCCTTTACCCTGTGGGCACTAAGAAGACAAAGAAGCATTTGCTGTGTGGGTGAGGGCTTGAATCTAAGTGTCTCTTGTTCTCTCATTATCGTTTCTTTAAGAAATGATAGAAATGTTCTTGAGTCACCTGGAAGAGGCTGAAACTAGACCCAGACGTGGGAAGGCTAAGCAAGTGAGTTTGAGGTTCAAAAACTTCCTTTGTTAATTAAGCTGCCTTCAGTGTTGAGAAAATCTTGCTATTTTAAAGGTCACAGATATAATGTCAGTGCTACTGCACATATATCAAGGAGCAGGGTAATTTTGAAGGTCAGGAAAATAACCAGAATCTTCCTGGCATTTTTAAATACATTTTTATATACACAAAGAGGGAGAGCTATGGAACAAGGACAGGATTCCCTTTTCCATAGTTGCTGTTTCCCCACTGAAGGAGCTCCTTACTAGGGGCAGGCTAAACCTTTCTGTTCTGTTTGCTTTAAGTCTAGTTCATGTGGAAGTTTGAGCCACCTGCATCTCTGATAGGTTCATCTAAGAGTGTGAAAATTCACAAGATGTTAGTTCAGTTTACACACATACACACACAGAAGGGAAAAGAGTGCATGCATGTTGGCAGGCACTTGATATGTGTGTTCAACTCTAGTTAGAATGGCAATCATCAAGAATACAAATAAAAATTTCTGGTGAGAATACAGGAAAAGGTACATTTAGACATCGTTGATGGACTGCAAATTGGTACAACCACTTTGGAAAGTAGTCATAGATTCCTCAAAAGATAAGGAATGGAACCACCATATTACTCAGCTATTCCACTTCTTGGTATTTATTCAAAAGAACTAAAATCAAGCATACTATAAGCATCCTATAGTGATTCATGAATAACAGTGTTTACAATAGTGCAATTCACAATAGCCACATTATGGAACCAGACTAAGTGCCCGTCAGCAAACAAATGGGTAATGAAAATGGAGTGTTTGTTGATACATAATGGAGTTTTATATTCATCCATAAAGA